AGAGAAATTCAGACTGTGGTGTTCTACTTGCCTGGGAGCTTGCAAAGCTCCTGGCAGTAAAGTAGTGGTTGGAGCCCAGTCAGTGCCCCTGGAGTGGTAGGGAGTCAAAGGAACCAAAGTCATTCCCAAAGTGGGAGCTCCGGGTATCTTGGCACCAAAGACCTTTTGGCTTGAGGGTATCTCTGTAGAAAAGGAAGTGCCACATTCTAGCAATAGCTGTTTCCTGCAAACCAGTATATACTTAGCTGGGCACACCAGTGCCTGGGGCAGACTGGACTCTACTTTGATGGGGTGTACAGATCTAAACAATGCTTACTTCAAGGTGAGACATGTTGGGCCTTTGCCTAGGCCAGACACTCAGCAATCCAGAGGAGGAGGGGGTGGCAAGTTTCTTTCTGCACCAGCACAGCTCACAGGGTGGGAGTTGCTCAGCCTGATAGTCCTTCCCTGACCAGCAAGGACAGTGAAACCTGCAAAACCTGCATTGTCAGGTTTTTGTTGTTTGTTTTTGAGACGGTATCTCATTGAGAAGCCCGCTGGCCTGGAATCGGGCCCCCTTCCTTGGATATCCAAGTGCTGGGATTACACCACGTGCCGTTAGGCCTGGCTACCCCTTGTGTATGGGTGGAGAAGTCTGAGTGGCCCACCCCTCCTTCCTGATAACCTCTATCCTCCATCTCTGCTGGCGGCTGCTGTCCTTCCAGGCAGAGGTCTCTCCAGATGAGCGTGGACCGGTGACTTTGTCCACACATCTCTGTCCTTCTCGTTGCGAGGCGGGACTAGCCCTGCTGCAGAGGGCAGTGTGTTTGGGGCTGCTGCACTCGCCCGGGACTGCTGCCTTTGGGAGGCAGGGGTGGGAGTGGGCTGTTCCCTGCAGGCCCGCCTCCAGGTCAGACCTGGTTGCCAACAGTCTCTACTCAGCTTCTTTCTGATCTTGGTGGAGTACCCTGTGGTTAGAACACATCTCTGAACCCTACCCTAAGGTAGGGCACGGAGGGGAATTTATTAAATGTACAAAGAAGCATAAATGGCATCAGGAAGTAAAAGTCAAAACTCTTGGACAGGGTTGTGTGGCCTGACTCCTTCCAACCCAGCCACTGACTATGTGACTGTGACCTGCCTTGCTCCAGCCCCTTAGTAAAAGGAGTTAGTTCCAGGTTGAGGAGCATTCTTCAATGTGCCGTAAACTTGAGTGTGCTGAATGTATTCTGACTGCCTGAAGCCTTGTTAAAATCTCACTCAGCCATCTGGAGAAGGGCCTGGGAGTCTTCGTTTCCTTTTTGTAGCATTGGAGATTGGACCTGCAGCTTTATACACTTTTGGGTGAGTGATGCTCTGCCATTGAGCTGCAGCCATACATGGTTCTTCATTTCTTTTATCTTTTATCTTTGAGATAGGGTCTCCTATAGGCTGGCCTCAGAACTTGGTATGTCCCAGAGTCTGGCCTTGATCTTCTGATTCTCCTGCCTCTACCTCTCAAGTGTTGAGAGGATGGGCATGAAGCCACCATGCCCTGCTTACCCACCCTTTATTTCTAAATAGTTCAATAATAATGCTGTTAGCCCACAGAGCACTTTGAGCAGCAGAGAGGACAACCCATATCATCTGAGCATCAGGACCCAGAACCCGGGTCCTGTGAATCCTCTGCAAACCGCCCCGACAGAGCATGGGAAAGTTATCTTGAGATTAGCTTCAGCCTCTAGCTGGCAGTGCTCAGGTTTGGGGACAGGAGAACTCCAGCCCCAGCCTCACTTCTGTTTATGTAGAAAAGTCCTTTCTTGGTTACCGCTTGATTTAGCCAAGGGTTGTTCCACATCTGAAAAGGAGAGGAACACAGTTCAACCCATTCATTATCTTGGTGGCCACAGGAGGCTCTCTGAGGAGGTGACGCCCTTTAGGAGGGCAGCAGCCATCGGTTAAAGACTATGATTCATTACACTGAGGATGGAAACGTGCTTAGCTCCTGTGGTTGCCTGCTGTCTGTCAGGGGAAATGCCCAGCAAGGTCGGGAGAGAAGAGGGCAGACAGAGTCAGCTCGCCCTCCCATTCTGGACCTCTCCTAACTGACCAGCTCCACTGGCTTGAGGTACACTTCGAGCGTAGTTTGTTAGTTACTTGTTGGAATCCCTGGGGCATTTCGGGAAGGACTAAGCAGATTTCTGTTTGCACCTACCACAGAAATTTGGCTCCTTGTGCCAAGGCCTGAGTAATCTTAGGAGTAACTGCAAAGTGCATAGGATAGAGCACTTACTGTGAGGGACCCCAGGGGAAGATGGACATCAAGCCAGTCTTACGTACTTGTCAGGACTCCTCATATTGTAGACACGAAAGGGACCCAACCAAAGAATCTGGAGGTCTGCCCTGGGACCATCACTCCTTTAAGATCTGTCTCTTCTGGGAAGTGAGGAAGATGCCAGCAGCTCTAGCAGTTTCTGTTGGTCAGAGGAGATTAAGTTGGAGTTGGAGGAAGCTCTTCCCTGGAAGTGCTTGGAAGATGAGTGTTCTAACTCAGTGAACTCGTAAGTGCCTTAGCAACCATACTTAAAGGGCTATCTTCTAAGGGCTCCCTTCTTTAGACTCTAAGAGGCTAAACTATTAGGCCAACAGGCAATGTTTTCAAGCTGGGGACCTAGAGATCTGGGGATCTAGGTTCCTGTGGAAAACCCTCCATACAGCCATGGGTTCTCCTCCTCACCCCCCTCTCCCCCGAGATAGGGTTTCTCAGCCTTGGCTGTTCCGAAGCTCACTCTGTAGACCAGGATGGCCTTGAACTCACAGAGACCCACCTGCCTCTGCCTCTGGAGTGCTGAGATGAAAAGTGTGCGCCACCACCACCCGACCAGCTCTTTTCAATGATGTTGGTATTGTTCCTTTAATGTGCAGGCTGTCTTGCCCCCTTGGCTCCTAGGCTTTTGGGGGGGCCATAGGCAAAGGACACATTTGTCAAAGCTTGTGCACATTCTTCATGGATTACATATATACAGTCAGTTACCAATCTCTGTATCTTGTGTCCAAATGCTATGAGCGAACCCATGTTCACATATATAACCATGTGCATTTTCCGCATCTTTTTTGTTTGTTTTGTTTTGTCTTTTTTGAGACAGGGTTTCTCTACTTAGCCGTGGCTGTCCTGAACTCACTTCGTAGACCAGGCTGGCCTCGAACTCACAGAAATCCGCCTGCCTCTGTCTCCCTGAGTGCTGGGATTACAGGTGTGTGCCACCATGTCCTGCAGTTTTCAACATCTTTTTATTTTTTATGTATATGAGTGCTCTATCTGCATGTACACCTGCATGCCAGGGAGAGGGCATCAGATCCCAGTATAGATAGTTGTGAGCCACCATGTGGATGCTGGGATTGAACTCAGGACCTCTGGAAGAGCAGCCAGTGCTCTTAACCTCTGAGCCATCTCTCCAGCCTTTTAATGTGGTCCACAGATCAGTTCCTATCTATCTCCAGAGCCTAGAAGGAACAAGTCCCTTAGGAAGGAAGATGGTAGAATTGGTTTTTTGTTCCCCCTCTTCCTTAGTTTTGCTAGAGATTGAATTTGGGATCTTATGCTAGGCAAGGCTTTTCTTATGCTTTAGTTTTTTTAAGTGTATGGATGTTTTACCTGCATGTATGTTTGTGTGTGATGCGTGTGTCTATTGCCCACAGAAGCCAGAGGAGAGTGATGGATCCCCCAGAACGGAGGTTGTAAACCACCATGTGGGTGCTGGGAATCAAACCCCTGAGGACTCTCTCCAGCCCTGCATTCTACCACTCAGCTGTATATCCCAGCCTCGGCCCCCGTGAGTGATTTACAAGAGGGGATGGAATCCCACCCTTAAGGTTTAGAAGTATTTTTGAAAGGGTTGAAACACACACACACACACACACACACACACACACACACACACACACTTGTTAGGTCCTCAGCTCTGCTGTGTAGTGAAAGACTCTCTCAGGTCATAGCAGGGCTGTGGGCACAATGCCTGGGCACCGTCTCACCACCTAGCCCAGGCTCACAGCAGTAGAGCTGTGTCAGCCTGCACCAGTGCCTGGGGGCAGGGCAGGGCAGGCTGTGTGAATACAGGGTGTTGTCAGTCCTCCAGGGGAAAGAGGAGACGAAGGCAGATCCTGCCTGGCAGGTCTGTCACCTACATCTCTGCTTACACTTTCAGGGGTGGAGACCGGCCCCAGATATCAAGGCCCTGAGGATCCAGCCTTAATTTCCTGGGAGTGGCAAGGCAGAGCTGTGAGTGTTGTGTGGGGACACTTGGCTTGATCTTCCTAACCTAGGGACCAGACACATCAAGTTTATAAAAGGAAGCTAGTCTTGGGAGCTTAAGATGCAGAACATTTCTGGAGGCCAGAGTTAGCCCCAAGGCTACAGGCCCCTCTGGCCATTTTTCAGGGGGCAGTGATTTTTCAAGGTAGTACTGTTCTGGGTGGCACCACTGAAGCCTTGCTGGGTCTTATCTACCATTACTTCGCTGTGTGACTAGTTGACTTTCATGCCTTCCTGGTTCTGTCTCCCTGTCCCTCCTTTCCTCTGGAGACCTTTTCGTCAGTGACACACCTGGATCCCAAGTTTCCTGCCTGAACCCTCTGAGAGGCTCTTTTTAAAAGGGGCATCATGCCATGAGGCAGGGTAGTCTGGCAGCAGGATGGTGAGGAGGCTCAAATGTTACAGATGCTAAGACACATGAAAAGGTCATCCTGGTCCCTAGATACAGGTCAGCTGTCGAAGGCTGGTTTCCACTCTTCACCTCTAACCTGCCTGTACTTAGGCTCCAAGGAATCCTAATCCTCCTTCCCCAGCCCCAGGCATGGATTGTCTCCCTCTCTTGCTCGATCTGACAGGGTCTCAGGTAGCCCAGGTTGGCCTTGAATTTTCTATGTGGCCGAGAATGACTGAGAACTCATTTTCCTGCTCCTGCCTCCCAAGTGCTGGGATCACAGGCAAGTGACACGAACTCCGCTTTATCTTTCTTTTCTAATGACTTCAGTGCATTCTCAGGACAGGAGGATCCCCTGTTCCACAATTTGTTTGCCCCTGGTCTTGCATCATCTTCTTTTAGGGAGGGCCAGAGGATTCTGTTTGCCTTGTAACTCATATAATGCCCGTTCTTTTGGAGACTTGGCATCCCAGGACCCATTGCTAGCTGAATGACATGCCCTAGGGCGCATGGCTTTTGTGTGTCTGTATTGCTTCCTCTCCTTTAGAAAAGTACTTTAGTCCTCGTGGTGAAGGATGGAGATAGTAAAAGCTTCCATATAGAAGCCCACATGCCTGAATCTTCCCTTTATGCACTGCGGCCCAAGCTTTGGCTTCCCCACCCCATTTCCCTCACTTTTGCTGTTGCAAGCACAAGAAAAGGAGGCAGGGAGGAACAGGGCTGTGGGGGCCAAAACCCAGGCTGAGAAGTCGAGGGCTTGGGAGCACTTATTTTTATTGTTTTCCCTGAAGTTCCCTGTAGGGTAAGGGCTTTGGTCCCATCTCAACAAACAGCCCATCTGTACAGGTGAAAGTAGAGGACTTCAGGAAGCTCCAGGAGGTGGAAATTCAAGAGTCTGCCCAGATCTGTCCCTCCCCACCCCCATGAAGCTGGGCCACATGGCCTGCCTGCCCCAGGGGAGCGAAGTCTGCCATGGATAAGAGCCCAGAGCACAGTCAAACACAAACAATGCGCAGCTGTCCGGGGCCTCTGAAGCACCATTCATCAAGGCTCCATGAAGTCAGATGCCCCAGTTTGCCTGCTCGCTAGTCTTGAGGAGAGCATGGCCATCAGAGTGGCCTTCAAAGCCCCCAATCCAGGCACTGAAGGCTGCTAACCGATGCTTCAGTGCTTTTACCACAGGGCTCCGTGGGTGAAATGGCTTCAGACCCTTTCTCTGTCCCATATACTCCAGGGCCTCAGCAGGCCTGGATAGCCTAGCACCGTGTTAAATAGCTTTGATGCCTTAAATTAACCAGCCCCAGAGCAACCCACCCATTGTGCACCTTGAATATATTAATCTATTGGCGATCATTCCTCCCCATTCAGCTTCAGGACAACACCAGAGTGGGACAGTCTGTTCTTCAGAGACAGCAAAATGGCCAGATCTGGAGTGGAAAACCCAGGGTGCTCTCTTCTTCTGACCCTGGTAGCCTGGGTCAGGTATGACTTCTCTGCCACAGACCCAGGACCCAGAATTGTGACCCATCTAGGATGTAACCCTGTTTTCTGTAGCGAGTTGGCTTTAGTTGCCTGTCACCTTGGCCCCTGTGGTTCTCCAGGTCTAAGTGAGCTGAGGAAGGTCCCGGCTCTTCACTCCACCCATTCCAGGATCTCTAGACTGTCTGTCTCCCAGTTCCCTCCACCCCTGCCATCTCCAGGTCTTTTCGGCCCTGGAGATCCTCAGGCCAGACCAGAGTACAGAGCAGTGGGCCTGGCGGGTGGGCAGCCTCTGGGCACAGGCCAGGTCTCACACCCAGTACTGGCCATTCCTGAGGGCAGGATTGGGTGTCCGGCAAAACTGCAGTAGCTCTGGGTCAGGCTGGCCTCCTGGGGGTCCCTGGCCAGGCACAGTTGTGAGTGGAATGGCTTGGCCTGGCTCAACCTTTCGAAAGGTCTCTGTGTCACCAGCCAGGCCGTTGCGGGGTTTGGCGGTCAACACCTGGACGTCGTGCTTGCCTGTCTTGTTGCGTTTGCGGAGGTAGAAGAGCAGGGGCAAGATGAGGGCCAGAAGCAGGAGGATCAGGCACACAGGGATGATGACGCTGAACATGTTGGCCTCTAGGAAGCCCAGGAAACCGCCCCTGGCCGCAGTGGGCACGGGGCTGGATGCTGCTTGGCCTGGCTGGCCAGTAGGGGTGCTTCTTCCTGGTTTCTCTGTTTCTGTCCGAGCAGCTTCAGGGACACTGAGTAGGGCCACACTGTAGGACTTGGCCGCATGGTAAGGCTCCGTGGCAAAGTCCAGCAGAGCCACGGCAGGCGGGACGCCCCTTGCCCACAACTCCAGAGTAAGACTGTCACCTGCTGGGCCAGTTGACCTACCCTCTGGCCGGCCCACCTCCAGCCCCAGCCGTCCCTCTTCCAGGTCCTGCTGAGTGAAATGTTCCACAAGTCGGTTGCTCTTAGGTTCTGTTCGGGCTTGGGACACACGGACCACGCGGCCATATCGGGGTCCTGCCAGGAGCCGGAAGTGGGGCATACTGCCTGTGCGGTTGGCCAGCTCACTGGCATCCAGCACAGTGGGGTCAAGGCGCAGGGTGGCACCCTGAGGCCATGGCCCACCTGCCCGCACGCGCAGCAGAGCCTGCACTGTGACATTTACAGTGGCTGATGCATTCACGCCCCTGGCCAGAGCCAGGACTCGGAAGTGATCCTGAGACGAGGAGAAGTTGGTGAAGGCGAAGACCACTTGCCCCTGGTCTACCTGCAGCTGGCTGAAGGCAGAGGCGGGCTGCCCGCCCACCAGCAGCTGCCCATAGAGGGGCCCCTGAGTGAGGCGGTATGCTACATCCGGCTCCTCACGATCTGAAATCACCTGGAGCTGCTGCCGGCTCAGTGAGGAGCGTCCCAAAGCTTGGGGCACCTCAAGGGGTGCTTGCAGATGCACCTCTATGGTGGATGGCAAGACATCCACAGCCAGGGACATGGGTATTGGGGGGCTGGCTCCATCAGACATGCTCAACTGGAAGACGCCAGCCACACTGCTCCCATTTGCCACGAAGGCCAGCCGCCCTGCGTCCACATCGGCCTGTGTGAAGTGGGTCACAGGCCCGGTGTTGTCCCCAGCCAGGCTCAGGAAGCCATTGTGGGGTGCCCTCTGTACTTCATACTCAATCTCCCCTGGAGCCGAGTCTGGGTCTACCACACTGAGCTGGGCTCGAGAGACAGGCGCTCGTGAGCCCCTGGTGACACGGAGTGGAATGGAGGCCTGTGGCTGAGGTGGCCGCTCATTCACATCCCGCACAGTGATGCTGAAGGCCTCAGAGGTTTGGGGTCCTGACACAGGAGCCCCTGACAGTTCCTGGAGGTGGGCGCGGAAGCGGAAGCCATCCTGCTGGGTGCCCCCACCACCATGGGCATAGACCAGCTGTCCTGCAGCCAGCTCAGATTGCAGGAAGTGGGACCTCCCGGCATGGAGTGGCTCTTCAGACACCAAGAGCTGGCCCCGGGTAGGGAACTGTGTGACCTGGAAGAACACATCATGCCGAGCACGCTGGGATGCTGGAACACTGGCTAGGAGGTTGGAGGCATCAAGGGCAGCCACAGTGATCTTGGCCCGCTGGCCCTCAGGGACCCAGAGACCTGGGGGTGGGGGATGAGACATAGGCTATGAAGGTGCAGTCCACTGGAAGAAGAGTTATGAATTCTCAGAAGGGAGACCCCAGGGCAAATCTGTGCCTTCCTCTGATGTCTGTGTTCCCCATAACTTCCTATGTCCTGGGACTGAGCCAGAAGCTGCTAGGTAGGCCTCTATCCCTCCATTTGGGACATTTCTCTGAATCCTCAACCTTGCCATCCCATCATGCTATTCACCTTTGTTTCTCCAGAGGCGGCTGGGGCGCTGGGGACAGGCAGCGTCGAAAGACACAACCACAGCAAGGGTGGCAGCCACTTCCCTGGCGGGTGGTGAGGACAGCAGGAGACCAATGGTGTCGTGGGCTTCCCAGAAGGGCTCAGAGGACATCTCATGCTCGTAGAGAATATTCCCAGCATTCACCTGGGGGAGACATCTCGGTTGGGTGTGACGGGTGTGACGGGTGTGCATTCTGTGGTGCCTGGAAGCTCCCCATCGGGCTGGCAGGTACTGGCACTCCAATCTCCCCACACCCCAGTGCCAGCTTCACTGAGTTCTCCTGGATGAACCTAGGCCTGTGTCGGCTGCGCTCCACCTCACTGGTTCAAAGGATCACCGTTAGGTAATTATGTTCAGGGAACAGCTGGCCTCCAAAGCCAGAAGCCTAAGCTCAGCCCTAGCTCCAGCTGGGGAAATCGGTCATTTATTCATGTTTCCAATGAAAGCGGTCCTTCCTCCTTCGAGATGGCTCCCCTCCCCTTTGCTGCCCACAGACACCGCTTGTAGTCTCCCTTCTGCCATGTCAGCTTTCTCCCAAATAGATTTTTTTTTTTTTTTTTTTTTGCTAGGTAACCAAGTTATTTTTTTCTTTCTTCTTAAAGAAAATTACTCTTGAATTTACTTTTCTTTTACCTTGGGAGAAGGTTTCATGCATCCTACTCTGACCTAGAACTTGCTAAAATGCCAGTTTTATGTGGTGGTGATGATTGAAACCAGGGTATCATGCATGATAGGCAGGCACTCTTCCAACTGAGCTACATCCCCAGACTTCAGTTTGTATTTTCTGCTGGCATTTGCCACCTCCCTCTTTTCACTGCAGCAAAATTCCCCAGGAATAGTCCCCACTGTCACCACACATTCTCAGCCCACTCCACTCAGGAATTTCTCATGGTGTTGCTAAACCCGTTTTCATCAAGGGCACTAATGGGCCCTGGGCATTAGATCCACAGACTGGGACTTGGGGCTCCCTGACTGCTGAGCATCCCTTGACACAGTGAAACACCTGGGATGGGATGTTCTGCTTTGGTCCCCATATGGCATAGACTCTGCTGGTCCTGATCCCCATCGACCCGTGACATGGTCTCATGATCTACATACTCACTGGAGCTCCGCTCTCAGATTTCCACCTGTGTCTTTTGCTGCACAGAAACAGCTAACAGACATTTCAAGGCCCAGATGTGCCCGGTGGCCTCACCTCCCAAGACTATATCACCATGACAGCAGCTCTGCTGTTGAGTGCCTCAGGGGAAACCCCAGAGTCCTCCTGGGCTCTTTTCTCCCTCACCACCCTGCCTGGGTTACTGCAAGTTTTTTCTCCCATTCCACCCCAGGCCTCCCAAGATCAAGTCAGTCTCCTGCCTCAGCCTCCCAAGCAGCCAGTATGTGATCAGCATTTCAGCTCACACTGGCTCAAATGCTGCAGTAGCTCACTGTCTAACCACAAAGACTCCATTGTTATTCATGAGACCTCAACTTCTTGTTGCACGACTCTAAGATAGTAGCACCTATTCTTTAGGGCCGTGTGTACGCTGAACACCAGTGACAGTCTTTGTTTCTGTAAAGAAATTTGTTTCCTCTACCTCCTAATCAAGACACACACTCATGCCTTGTCTTTGTCCTTCCCCCCCTTCCCCGTTTAGAAGACACAGATTTTCCTTTCAGGAAAACAGGATTTGTGCAATAGTGAAAGAGAAATGGAGTGTGATCGTTGTGAGCAGGCAGTCTTAAGAGGCCCAGAGCAGTACGGTGGGGTTGTGCTGTCTACACTGGGAATCTGTGCTAAGAGACTGGCTCCTCCTCCGTGGTTTGCTACACGAAGGAACACAGGCCTTTGAAGAATCCATGTATCAGGCTTGTGTGAAATTTCCTAAGGCTTCAATGTTGACAACTAATGTTAAAATATTAAATGTGTGTTCAAATAAAACACATCTGTGGGCCAGATGTATTCTAAAGGATTGAAGCTTGACAGTTGTAACTTCTAGCCCAGGCTGATGGTGGGCATGGTGGGAAATGGAGACCTCCAGAGGCAGTGATAGAGGTCAATATGATGCCTGGTTATCAGTGCTCTTGTAGGAGAAGGCCTGGATGGGAAAAAGGCCAAACTCAGTGCCACCATGCAGGGCTCTCCCAAGCTCTGGGGCACAGTGTCCTTAGGGGAAGGCACAGTCAGAAGGCTCAGTCTCGGTTTTTCTTCTTACTAGCCGAGTATACTGAATGAAATCACCTGACCTCCATATGCATTTCTTTGCCTGCAAGTTGAGGTTACCTGAGCCCTGCCCTGTCCAGCCCAGAGTCTTAAAGGGCAGTGGTACTGCCAAGCCACCACTTCCTGCTGCCTGGCCTCTTCCAGTGGAGGAGGGTGTCCGTGCCACGTAGCCTCTTTCCAGCCTCCTGGGTGGCACTGCCACTTTGGCCCCCTGGTGGCCATTCAGTCTGGTCCTTCCGGTTGCTGGACTGTGGGGAATTGTTGGGTGGGGGAGGGGTGCTCATGGCCTTGTCCTAGTCTCTCCTTCCTGGTCTCTGATAACAAGACGCCCGGTGACTCAGGGCATACAGCTGCCCCTAGCCACTGGCCGATTTCATTGTGGGGAGGGGCCAGAAAGGGGCTGTGGTAGATGCTAGAGCCCAGGAGATGAGTAAACTCAAGCCCAGCAAATGATTTGACAGACCTGAGCTAAGCTAGTTTCCTCCTCTGCGCTACCGGATGGGTGGGAGTTGCTTCCCTCTGCTAGCTCCTCCATCTGGGTACTTCTCAGGGGGGAGGGCCCACCCTGATGGGGTATAGAAAGAAACTTGCAGGGCCCAGGAGGCCTCCGAGGGGAAGGAAAGAGACCCCGGGGTGGGTCCTGCCATTTTCAAGGGCCAGGTGAAGCCCCTCTGGAAAGTTCTGCAGTGCTGCAGATCCAGCAGTGTCCTCCTGCGTCCTGCTCGTATAGAAATAATCCGGGTCACGCTTGAGTTTCATGTGCGCGCACGGCCTCTGGGTGGGAGCACCGTGTGTGTTTGCTCAGAGAGCATGTCCCCCCCCCCCCATGGCTGGAAGGAGCTGCTCACAGTGCCTCAGACCCCCTGGGGACCAACCCACTGATGTGGTGAGGTAAGTGAAGACTGCTGGTCCCCACCAGGTTAGCACTAACAGTCCTGGCACCTTGCAGCTCAGCCAGCCTCGACTTGAATCTGGGAATTAGGATTGGGATGGGTGGCCCTGGTGTGCCCTAGGAACTCTGTTCCAAAGAGCAATGACAGCGTCCTTCAGCTTGGTGATTCACCTCCTCCCAGCTTGCTTGCTTCTTCTCTGCCACCTGCCCTGAGCCCCAAGCCCAACTTTATCCCAAACTCTGTCCCCCTGAAGCAAGCTCAGCTCATCACCAGCTGCTAGGTACCTCACTTCTCCTTATTGGGCCCTTTTCAGCCTCTAGGATCCAGTTGTAGCTTCCTTCTGGAGGCCTAACCCTGAAATGGGGCTGTGTCTAGGAAAGCTTAGCTGCCAGTTATGTGTGTGCTCAGGCTGGCAGCCACGTGAGGTAAAGTTGGGGTCTGTGTCGTGGCTGAGGAGCGAGGCCCTTACCTCAGCCTGGGTGAAGTTCACCAAGGCCTCCTCTGTACTCCCTTGCTGGGCGTGGAAAAGCCGGCCAAGCTGGGGGCCTCTCCCCACCCGGTACAGCAGGTGTCTCGGGTCAGTGCCTGTGCTGGAGCTGGCGCTCAGGCTCCGGGGGCTCAGCGGCTGCACAGACTCTGTAAAGCACCAAGGAGCCTGTCAGCTTCTGCTAGAGACCAAGGCAAGGATCCTGCGCCATCGCCCTCAATTCTGTCCCAGCTACCCAGCATGTGGACCTACCTGGACAGACAGTCAACTTCCGGCTGCCCTCCAATGACAGGAGCACCTGCTTCTGGGCCACCACTCGGAAGAAATGTCCAGGAGAAGAGTGTGCGCCATCAGAGAGGCTGAAGTGGAAGCCGCCTTCCAGGGCTCCTGGAAGCACAAGGGGTGGGTCTGGATCCCGCTGGCCCAAGGCAGCTCCGTACCCCAGGGGCTGAAGAACCTACTTGGCACCCACCTCTGTGTGAGAAGAGCACGAGCCCACTGTCCAGCTGGGCCTGTGTGAAGCGGCGGACCTCAGAGTCTGGCGCTACCCTCAGCACTATCCGTCCATTGCTGGGCTGCTCGATGGTGTAGACCAAGTCTTCTGGCCCAGAATCATTGTCTGTGCCCCTGAGGGCCTCGGGGGGGATGGGCACAGTGGCCCCCTCCCAGATCTGGGGACACAGACCTGTGAAAGTTCTGTTCACATCGTGCCTGCCCCACTCCCCTTCCTCCTGGCACTGGCACCAGGGCCCCACCTTGCTCTACTCAGCTGTCATGGATGTCCGTGCCATCCGGGCTCCACCACATACAGGGCCTTCCACCTCATTCTCTTAGGTCACCTCAGCCTCAGCTCCTTCTTTTCCATCTGTCCTACTCTTAATTGTACCTCAAAGCCAGGCCATAACCTTCTGCCTAGAAATGCTCCTGATTGACCCAGTAAATTCTTCCTTCCCAAAGACCCCGACTCTGACGCTGCTTCATCTGTATCTCACTGGTGGGCGGGGAGCCCTTGTCCCTTCTGCCACGGCATGTACCACCTGGCAGGGGTGGGTACAGGACAGAGGTGGTGGATTGGCCAGCACAGGATACTTGGAAACATGTCTCCTGCCAGATGGAGGCCAGGAGCAAGGTGGAGAGCAAAGAGGAGAGTGGAGAATTTTCTTCTCAGTTCTCAGTCAGGGGAGGAGAGGCCCCTTTGGCTACCTACCGGAGCAGGGCAAGATCCTGTTCCTGGGTACAGTTCCATGTGACACAGGGACAGTTACTGGGGCCCTTCTGGGTAGGGGCCCTCAAATGAGAAAACTTTCTTCTAAGAATCCCCGACTCCTCCCCTAGAGTCCCAGCAAGAGGAAGTGTCAGGCACGTCCAGAGGGCTTAACACGGGTGGATATTGCCACCTAGTGGCCAACTCACCACATAGCATTTCCAACCTGTGGTCCTAGGTGACCCTTAGTTACCTAGACCAAACCCACTCATCCGAGGTGCCCTCAGCCCTCAGCCACCTCCCACAGGGAACACTATACCATATACTATGTAGTTATCTCTATACTATATAATTATCTCTATTGATAGCCGTGAGAGACAGATCCCATGCTAGAAACAGCCAAAGTTACTCTTCTACAACTGTCCAAAGCTACCCCTGGTGGCGGTCTACACCCCAGAAGCTGCCATCCGAAGCTTAGTTCAGCTCTGTTGTTCTATGGGGGCCTGTCGAGCTACACCCTTTCCGTTCCACCAGCACTTTTTGTGGCCACGGAGCTTTGTCCCTGTCTGGACCTCAGCTTCTATCTCTGCACGACAGGGTGCCGTTGTTCTGCAGCCTAAAAGGAGAGAAACTTGGGAAGCCTAGTTGTGATCTTCATTTGCAGTGACACTTGAGCTCCCCTCCTGCAGCCCACCACATGGGGCTTATATAAATCTCATTAGGTGTTTTGGGTCTGCGGCTCGAGGGAAAGCCTCCTGTTGCAGGTGGGTCCAGGGAGATAGCAGGACCAAGCATGGTCTTTCTAAAACCAGACTGCCCACTCTGTAAGCGCCCGGTGACAGCACCTCACAACTGTGTTCTGGTTTTCACACAACTGCCCGTCTCTTCTTCCAATAGCCTAGCATGTGGCAGCGAACCCATTTTACAGAGGATGAAACTGAGCCTGAGGGAAGGGGAGACGTAAGCGACTCTCGTCCCTTTCCTGGAGCAGAGATGGTGTGGCCGAGGGGTGCACTCACCTGCAGGCCTGTGTTTGTGGTGAGGACAGGGGGTTGGTCGTTAACAGGCAGGATGGTGACGGTGAAGGACATGGGTTGGCTCTGGCGATCCATCTCTGAAGCGTTAGCCACCAGGACAAAGCTGTCTGTCGGTGTCTCACTCCCATCATGCACATAGCGGATCAGCTGCTCTTCTACCTACAAGCACACACAGGGCTGGCTGACAGGCTTCAGCTAGCCTAAGACTCCACAGGGATCTTGGGCCCAGCACCATTAATGCCCCGTTGTTGGGGGCAGATCCCTTGAGAACCCATTTCCACAGGTGAGAAGTGGGGGTGGGGTGGGAAACAATTTCCATTCCCCAGAGGAAGACACGACATAAAGCATAGAGCAGTGCCAGTAACCAGGGCAGGGCTGACTGGCGTCTCTGGAAGAGCTGTACCTCTCTCCAGGAGAAAGTGCTGAGGCTCCCGTCCTGGGGCTGCTCCTCCTTCTGCAGGGCCCCGTGACGTGGTGGCTCTAGCACCTGTAGGGCAAGGCCTGGCAGTGTGGGGAAGTAGGGCCCAGTGATTTGGAGCAGCGGAGGGGCCAGGGTACGGGTGCCGCCCTCAGGGACGCTGAAGTTCTGCACATCCAGGGGGATGACCGTAGGCAGCACCTCCAGCTCCACGAAGATGCCCTCGAGAGGGTCACCCAGGCCCGAGGCCACGTCCAGGGAGAAGGAATCGCTCCAGGCTCCAGGGCGAGAGTGCAGGTAGAGAACCCTGCCCGAGTTCACTTCCTCCTGGGAGAAGCTCTGCACGGGGTCCAGGCTGGGCGGCTCCTCTGCAGAGGCACCGTGGGACACCATCACCAGGTAGCCGGCGTTTGGGGGGCTTCTCAACGAGAACATGATGTCTGCAGGCAGCACTGCCTCCTGGACTACCTGGCCAACAGAGACGGTGGGGACATACAGGGTCACAGGCTGTTGTGGACCCCAGCTGGCAGAACAGGCTTGGTGCCCACATGCTGCTGATCCTGCAAGGGCATTGCTGGTCGCATGCATTCGGGTTCACACACCGTGGCGGGTGGCATGACCAGAATCAGGGTTAAGCTGGGGCTCTGTTAGTGCTGCCACTGTGCACCACTAGAGGGCACCCTCACCATTCCCAGAAGCACTGGCTCCCAGACTCTGGGTCTTAGGCAAGTTTGCCTATCTAGGTTTAGCTCAAAGGAGGCTGAGTACTCCCTCACCGCCTGACCTAGCCACAAAAAACTGTAAATGCCACTTTGCATGTAATTTGACTCCATGCCTTTTTTGCTTGGAACACCATCTTCCGGTTTCTGCTGTCCATACCCCATATTTTCCTTTTTCTCTGCTCCCCACCTCTTCTCTTGAACCTCGGCAGACCTTGAACTCACTAACTAAACCAGGCTAGCCTTGAACTCGTAAAGCTTTGCCTGCCTCTGCCTCCAGAGTGCGAGGATTAAAGGTGTGTATCACCACAGCTTGGCTTATATGTTACCTCCTCCAGTGTAGGCACTTTCTGACGTGTTTAGTCACGGTCTTTCTCAAAGCCCAAAACACTGAGAACCAGAAGGGCCTCAAAACTGGAAAGTTTCATGGCGAGGCAATGAGCCTTCCGGTCAGTGTTGTGCTGTGAGCTCCCTGAGTGATTAAAGGCTTCCTAGACCCTCGAAGTCCTGGTGTGGGGTCTGGGGAAAGGGCTGAGGACCTGCTGATCTGAGGGGCAGCACTCCTCAGAGCCCACTGCTCACGGTAACCTCCTGGGGAACTTCACAGAGTGCATATTCTTGGGCCCCGCCTCGGCCATCCTGTGGGTCTGGCTGGAGCCCAGATTTCCCATGGTTAGCCACAGCAAGGGCACATGTGTGTGACACATGGAGGTTCAAGACACGTAACAGGTAGATGTATGCCTAACAGACTTCCCGGAAGCGTGTGGGACTACAACACACGTGGGCGAGTACTGAAGCCACACAATGCTCCTAACCACGAGTCACCGCAGGACCATGCCCTTCATGGATGTTCCCCTCTGCCCGGCCCACGGCCAGGCTCACCACCCCTTTCCTCACCTCCAGCTGGTCCCTTCTGATCTCAGCCGCTTCCCCCTGGAAGACGTAGATCTTTTTGTGCTGGACCAGTCGCAGTGGGGACAGGGGTCCCTCCAGGGCAATGGTCACTTGTAGGATGGTGTCCGTGTGCACTGGGCCTGCTGCCACAGAGAGGGCCACGGTGTCCTGGGGGCTCAGACTGCCATTGTGGCTGTAGAGAATGGCCCCATCCAGCAAGTCCCGTTGGGAGAAGGAGGTGACTGGCTGGCCATCTCGGAGCAGCTGCCCCCAGTGAGGGCCAGCTGTCACATGGTAGTGGACCTCATTTCCACTTCGGATATCCAGGTTGGTGTCCAGGTGGAGCACAGCTGTGTCAATGGTGCCCTGGCCCCCTTGAGGAACCACGAGGCTAGAACTGTTGGCCACTCGAACATAGGGCTCTGAGGCCTGCACCTCCAGCATGGCAGTGGCCTGGTGTTGCCCGTCAGACACTTGGAGCTGGAGCCAGCCATGGTCGGCCCCGGAGTGCACGAATAGGACTTGCTTCTTCCTGAGATCCTCTTGGGTGAAGCGGTAGATGGGCCGCGTGGGCTCCTCCATAGCCACGATGCTGCCGAAGAGGAGGTCCTTGCGGGTCAGCACTAGCTGGGAGTCGGTGAAGCCTGAGTCGGCATCACTGAAGGCCACATCCTCTGTAGTCAGCAGCCGCTGCCCGCCCCGGGCCACATGGAAGACCCGGCTGACGGTCTGCACGGGGGCATGGTCGTTCACAGGCTGGATGGCCACCCGGAAGACACCGCGCACCTCCTCCCAGGCCATGTCACCGCTGCCCTCGCCCTGGCGTGTGGCCACAAACGGGATATCGTCCTCTGTGGTCTCAGAGTCATCATGCTGGTAGAGCAGCCGGCCGTGGAGCAGGTCGTCATTGGTGAAGGATGTCACTGGGGTGGCCTTCCCCTTCGGCTCCCCCCAGGCCAACCTGCCGTGGTGGGGCTGCTCCACCACCTCATAGAGATAGCTGGCACTGTTGAGACTCTTGACAAAGAGGTGGTCAGCAGACAGGACCCCCTCCCCTCCCTCGGGCACCACGAGAAGGACGTTGGTGAGGACGGGGGCATTCGGGTCACCGCCGATGTGGATGGGGAAGGTGTAGAGCGGGGAGAAATGCGGCGGAGACGTGACACGGAAGCGGAAGGAGTCATCGGCCGCCTCAGAGGTCCGAGCGGTGGCCCTGTAGGTCACACGACCGGCCTGCAGGTCATTCTGGGTAAAGCTCTGGCCGTCTGACAGCCTCGAACCCTGGAGCAGCAGGTTGCCTTTCCTGGGGGCCTGAACCAACTCATAGTGGAAGGTGTGAGGGTGGGGGCCCGCCTCCCCCTCCTCCAGGGCAGCCTCTAGGTGGGCGGGGCTGAGGGTCTCCTGATGGGGGCTCTGCGTCTGCAGAGGCTCGAGCTGCGGCATCCACACCGTGGCCCTCTGGATGGTCACCGGGAAGGACAGGTTGCTCAGGGTCTCCTGGCCCACCTGCACCTCCAAGGTCAGGTCCTCCACCGTATCTTGCGCGTGGTGTCGCGGGTCGGTGCTCAGGTACCGCACCCGGCCCTGCTCCACGTCGCGCTGGTGGAACGCCAGCGTGTCCCACCACTCGGTGCCCTCCACCCCCCCGGCCCCCTGCTTCTGCAGCTCCCCGAACCGCAGGGTGCCGGTGACTCGGAACAGCACACTCACATCCTGCCCGACGGCGTTCGTTTCTACCGACAGGTTGGCCGGTAAGATGGGCGCGGCGGAGCCCTGGGCCAGGCGCAGCCCCGTGCTGTGGTGGACCTGTATGGCCGGCCGGACAGCCACCACCTTCAGCGTGGCTGGAGCACTGGCCTGCATCCCGTCGCTGACCCGGAAGGTCAGGTCCTGGGCGGGCCCGCCGCGGTGGACGTAGACCATGCTGCCCTCCTCCAGGTCCCGGCAGGAAAACTCAGTGGCTGGCTCCCCGGGCTGGTCGCGGTGCTCCACGGGGACGCTGGTGGCGGCACCGAGGAGCTGGATGGTGAGGCCCTCACAGGCAGTGTCCGGATCATAGGTCTGGAAAATCTCGGGTCCCAGGGGCTTCTGTGTGTGTTCCAGGATCACCATGAGGCTGCCGTGCGGGAAGATGACCCGCGGCGGGTCGTTGACAGGGTTTACCTGGATGGGTAGGATGTAACTCTGGCCTCTCCGCAGGCAGGAGGGCACGGGCGCCCGGGCGGTCACCGACACCTCCAGCATCAGCTGGTCAGAGGTGTCCTCGGAGCCGTCGTGGACAAAGCGGGCCTTGCGGTTCACCACGTCCAGCAGCGTGAACATTTTCCGAGTCTGCGCTCCCGGGATGTCTAGCTCCAGCTCGCCGTGGCGGGCGCCCTGGCTCACGCTGAACAGGACCTGGGACTTGCGCAGCTCCGCCTCCGTCAGGTCCAGCGTGGGCTGCACGTGCCGCCACTCCAGCCAGGCGGCGCCGCCCTCGGCCACCACCAGGGGGCTGATGGTGAGCAGCTGGGTGAAGTTGGCGAAGACGGGAGGCAGTCCTGGCTCGGGGATGCACGGCTCCGGCAGCTCCACGGCTGGCCAGGCCCCCGGCGCCAGGGTGGAGAAGGTCTCGTACGGGCCGTAGGCTTCCTCCTCGTACTCCTCTTCCTCGGGCCTGCAGCCCGCGGCCATGTCACGGGTCAGCCAGGCATCCCGGAGGCCGAGCCTTCTGCCGTTAACGCTGAAATCCTCTAGGCAGCCGACCAGGGAGATGTTGGCGCCCCCTGGTGCCAGGCCCAGGCGGTGTTCCTGGAGGTGGCGAGAGGCCTCTGGGCCCAGCCCCCCCAGGAGGAGACTGCCGCGCGGCTCCAGGTAGCTGAGGACCCCGCGGTTGAAGGTGCGCGTCGGGTACTGGTCCACGGAGATCTCCAGCCGGTGGACATCTATGTGTACGCTGACCTCGTGGGGCTGCCCATCGGCCACGGGCACGCTGTTACGGAGCAGCATGGTGCCTTGGCCCTTTTCAACCACGGCCCGCAAGTGGCCCTCAAATATGTCCACGTAGATAAAGTTGCCGCGCTGGTCGCCCGCTTGGAAGGCCAGGGGGGCTTGCTGGCTCCGCGTGGTGAGTGTGAACTCCAGCGTGCCCTCCTCCTGAGTGTTCCAGGCAGGGAAGGCAGCCAGGGAGTGGGGTCCAGAGAAGCCCAGGCCCACATCCTCACCAGCAGAGAACTCTTCGGCACAGCCTTCCTGAACGCCCGGGGTCAGTGGGCGGAGGAGGTTGCGGCCGTTGAGAATGGCCGAGTGGAGGCAGCCCCGCAGCGGCCGGCTGATTCCCTTCAGGTACGGCAGGTCAAGGCCTCCGGGGGCGCCCACGAAGACCCCGTAGGGGACCTCGAGGTGGGCTTCCGGGACCGGGGCAGAGGTGTTCAGGAGCCCGTCCACAGACAGCACAGCCCAGCTGTTGGCGACAGTGAGCACCACGGTGTGGGGGGCAGAGTCGCTCAGCACTGCGTCAGCCGGGGTCTGCAGCCTCAGCTCCTTTTGTCCCAGGACGAGTCTGACCTGAAGAGAGACAGGGAGATCAGGGCTGGCTCGGGGGAGTCTCTGTCTACGCCACACTGAGCACAACAGACGAGGCCAAGGCTTTCCACAGCACCGCCCTCCCCTCCCTACTGTCTCGCTTGTCTCTAAGCGCGGACCAAAGTGAAGTAGGTATGACTCAGGGCCCCAGTGTGACTCAGACACTGTCCCGGACCCTAAAAAGTCACACAGAGCAATGTTCTCCGCTGAAGCAGGACTTTGCACAGTCTTCTCTTCCTCTCTCTCCTTGGGTGAGCGGTGGCAGGAAAACCTACTGTGGATTCTAGAAAAATGACTCCTGGGGGAGCAATGGGCCCTCTGGAATCCCCGATGAAGCCCCTTAGGAGGGAAAACAGTCTGTGTTTTCTTCTTAAAGATTCATCTGCTTATTTGTGTGTGTGTGTGTGTGTGTGTGTGTGTGTATGTGTCCAAGTGTATGTATGTATATGTGTGTATGTGTGTGCGCGTGTGTATGTGTGAGTTTATGTGTGTGTGTCCAAGTGTGTGTATGTATATGTGTGTATAAGTGAGTGTATATGTGTGCGCGTGCGTGTGTATATTTGTGTGAGTGAGATTTGTGTGAGTGAGTGTATGTGTGTGCCTGTGTGTGCGTGTGTGTGTGTGTGTGTGTGTGTACATGTGTAGGCCCATGTGGAGGTCAGAGGACAACTCTGAGTAGTCCGTTCCCTCCTGCCACTTTGTGTGTTCTGGGATTGAGCTCAGGCCATTAGGCCTGCACAGGCGTGCATCTACCCACTGGGCCACCCTGCCGGCATGGATGCTCTGGGCCTGAGGACCTAGCAGACACCAGAACTGGAGTGGGTGGCAGCAGAGTACAGGACCGCAGGAATCCAAGCATGAAGCATCTCTGTGGGGCTGTGGGCAGCCTGTATCTGCTGCATCAGGCCTGGGCTCAAAGTGACACCTTGTGGCAGTGAGGCGCCATGGCAGCCGGAGGAAGATGGCACCGCACTGTCTCCCCTGCCCCCTGCAGCCACAATAGGCATGCAATGGGCCGTGAAAGCAGATGGGTCCAAGCCTAAGACCCGGGTTCCTAAACGCTCTATGATTGTGGAAGATCCTAGAGAGAGCCAAACGACTTTTGGCTGACAAAATTAGCCTTAAAGAGTGGAATAAGAACACAAGAGGGTGTTGGCAGGTGGAAAGGGCACTATTAACACCACAGATTGTATCACCACATCACAGCGGAGCTTAGGGGCAAGGGGAGCCCCCGGGGAGGCACTTTGGTCCAGGTGAGTAGCACAGGGAATCTCCCTGGGAGAGGGAACACGCCTCACACACAGATGTCAAGGAGAGAAGACTGGTCAGGCACGGGAAGAGAAGCACAGGCAGAGGAGAAGGCAGAGGTGATAGCGAGGATAGCGGTGAAAGGGGGACGCAGGAGGCACTTCCCGGCTCCCAGTCCAGGCGGCCCACTAGGGCCTATGAGGGGAGGTGAGACTGGAGACGGCTGGCGGGCAGAACCATTGTGCCAGGAACTCACTTTCTCCGGGACATTGCTGTCCAACTACAGCAGACAGACCAGGACTCGAGGGCAGAGGTGACTTGTATGAGCCGCACCGCCCGAAGGGAGGCAGTCTAACCTAGAGGAAGGATCCCTAGCCCTGTTCCCAGCAGCCCCACTCACCTGCAGGCGGCCGGAGTGGAGCTGAAGCAGTAGGTGGTCAGCTTGGCCCGCTGCCAAGAGAAGCAGGCCCTCGGGTTGAGGCGTGGAGAAGTGCAGCAGCAAGTCTACTCTGGTCAGGGCCGTGGGCACGGGCACCTCCAGGTGGTTCTCCCCAAAGAAGGAGGCTGCCGAGAGAGGGGGCTGTGATCAAGGTCAGGCTCCTGCTAGGAGGGGCCAGGTACCAAAGAGATCTGCAGCTGGGCTGTGGGAGGGGTTCCCGACATGGCCATGGCTCTGTGCGGTGCTGCCTGGATTCCAGTGTTAGGAACCCAGTCTCCTCGGGTTTCTGAAGCTACAGGATTCCACCACCTCTGTGCTTCAGAGAACGTCCATCCCGGCTCTGGTCTCTCCCTATCTTGTCTTGATCATCTGGCGTGGTGGGCACAGTCCCCAGGAGGAGTTCCGGGGTGGAGGACCCTCACAGTGAAGGCTGGTCCCCAATCACATTCCGCCCTAGAGTGGGCTCCTCATGCCCCTTGCCAGGACCACATTTCCTCTCTGTGGCTGGCCGTGGCAGACGTGGTGCCTGACAGTGGTGCGCGGGCAGGTAATTTCTACTCTTCTGCTCTTTGCCTAGTGCCTGTGAGGGTGGGGTGGGCTGGGACGGGTTATGCTCAGAGTCTGCCAAGGAACAAAGGCCCTCAGGCCAGATGGAAAGCACGTGCAGTGTCAGACTTAAAACGGGCCAAAGCTTCCTCCATGACTCTGAGATTGCTTCCTGCTGCAGCGCTATCACTACTCTCGGATGAATGGCCACATCCGGCCTCTCTAAGGAGCCAGGGAAGACAGCAGCGGAGTTTCCCTTCCTCAGCCCAAGCCAGGGCTGACTGAATCTGAGCACAAGGCTGGGGATGGATCACAAGTCTGCCAGCTGGACCAGAGAGGTACTCCTCTGCAGCTGATACGGTCTGCCCAGGGTTAGTGACCACATACATCCAGGCTCCCTGGGACCACACTGAGAACCTCCTCCTCTGAAGCGGCCTCAGCCCTCCTCCAGGCAGTTTCTGAAACTTAGCTTTCCTCTGTCTCCAGCCGGACACACCATTTCTGGTCCTTTCTTGTGGTGACCTAGCACTGGGGAAACAGCACAGGAGGAGAAGAAGAGAATGCTCATCCCGTGAGGCCTCTCTGAAGGGGTCAGTCAGGCTGACGGCTTTGATAGAGATCGGCCACAGTGTTGGGCCTCGGCCAGCCTGAGCCAGCTGACATCCGCCTGAGAAAGCAGCATCAGCCACTGCAGGGGCCTGTGTCTTTTCTGCCCCAGGAGGGATGGCCAGGAAAGATAATTCTGTTCTCAGGGCTGAGCTGACATCCTCTCTGGTGGCCCCTGAGTTAAAAGGATAGAGTGAGCACAAAGCCACCTGGCCAGGGGTGGCCGGCAGGCTCTGCAGGCCCAGCACATCCCGTGTGTGTGGGGAACCTCAGCCCGAGACAGTAGCTGGCAGTAGGTGCTTGTGCGGGCTAAACCAACGGCAGCCACAGAACAGTGGGTGGAGCGCGAAGCCCCCACAGGATGGAGCCACCACCCGGTGGGCTGGAGCGGCCTGGAGCAGCTGTCCAGAGCCGGGCAGTAAAGCTTCAGGGACTTGGGGAGCCCGTGCTGCTGCCCACCCAGAGAATATTTATGTCCCACGAAGAGATAAACATCTCAAACCGGGGCTGGGCTGCCCACCACCCACAAGGAAGGGGCACTCTCCCACTCCCCTGCACAGGAGGTGTGTTAACTTCCCAGGTCTCAGACTGAGGTACAGCCCTGACCACTGAGCCACCTGCCTCTGCTCCTTTCCCACAGGAGAGAGCAGCAGCCTGTTTGGCTAATTGGGAGGGTGGCAGGAAGCAGAGGTACTTTCCAGGGAGCTGGGGGTCTGAATGAGCCCATTGAGGGAGCGGGCCCTGCTGTTTCCTGTGTGGAGAGGCGCTCACACTGGCTGCCTTGTGTCGCTGGAGTGTGCAGGCCAGGCAGCCCCCTTGTCCGAACAGAGGCCTCTGAATCCAAGCTGGCCGGGGCTTTGGAAACTCTGACAGCACACCCCCTCACCTCCGTACACTTAGCCCTTCTGATAGGCTGCATCCAGAATTGCTGTCATCAGGTAGGGGCAGCTGGAGAGGAGCTTCAGATACAAAGAGGGTGCAGGATGGAGAAATAACAAGCCAAAGAAGTCAATCCCAGAGGACTTCTCGGAGGAGGTGAGAGTGGCATAAAGCATCACAGAGGAAGGAGAATAAATGATCTCAGGGACAAGGATCAGTGAAAGGCTGTCAGAGAGGCATACATCCTTTTGGGTAGGGCAGTGGTGGCCTCGGATCCCACACCCCCCAGTGGCTCTAGATAACTTATAAGCAGAGAGAGTTAGTGGAGCAGGCTGAGGGAGGGGGGTTGTGGTGGTAGCGTGTATAGGCCAAGCCCTCTGTGTGGGTGGGGCAAATGCCCCAGGCTCTGGGAGAGGAGCTGGGGCTGCGGAAAGGCTGCCTGCTGCCTGTGTGGGCTTTTTTATTTTTATTTTTTTGGCAGAGGAAGGTCACAGGTGAGTGTCCAGGGCTACGCAGATGTGCAGCGCATGAGCGTGAGTGTGTGGGTGGGTGCTGGGCTGTCTTTGGGGTTTGTGTAAGGCCATGTGTTTGTGTATACGCACAAGGGCCCAGAGCTGTTAAGACAGAGGAGCGATTGTGCCCAGCCCGGCCTGCCTCCCTTGCCTGCCTGCCATTACTTGGACAGGCCTGGCTCCCTCAAAGAGGCGTGTGTTCCTGGAGGGCTGCCGCCCCTCCCGCCCCGAGTTCTGCTGAAGGTGGGGAGGCCTCGTGGCTTCCCGCCCTTCCTCTCAGGAACAGGGAGCCGCTGTCTGGGCCCAGGGTGGGGTGGCTCCATGCTTTTCCTGAGACCCAGGCTTGGGACACAGAATTAGTGTCCTGCCATGCGAATCCCTTTCACAGGTGGTCAAGGGACGCTTGGGTCATCGCAGCTAGCCAGCCTTCACAGTCCCCGGATCGTGCTGGTAGCTCGGGGTCCCTGCATAAGGCTGAGGCCTCCACCTCCCCACTTAATGTTTTTGGGGGCCTCACATGCGCTTGAGGTTGCCCACCAACTCTGTATCACCTTCGTAGGGTTCTGTGTGCACTGGACTCTGTCTGCCTGGCTGGCAGCAAGGCTTCCAGTTTAGATGCTTTTCCTAGGCCTGGGGTGGGGGTGCTGCTGTAGACCCAGCTCCTCACAATCCCCCAAACTGTGTGCAAGCCAACTGTCTTTCTATCTGTCCTGTTTCTCAGTATCACTGTTTTGACTCGGCCTTGCTCCCTGCCCCACCTCTGCCCTCTGATGCTCCCCCACCTCTCCCCCACTTCTTTCCCCCCATTTTTGTCTTCCCCCGCACCCATCTTCCTGTAACTAAGAGTACAACTCCCATCCTAGGATGTACTAGAGAGCCAGGCCTTTGGCTACCCCTGTTCTGGGTGCCCACCCCTGGAGAACAAATTCCACAATACCAAAGTTCTCTGTAGCCGGCCCCATATAGGGGCTACCGGGGAGACTCTTGGTCTCAAAAGGGTAAACTTCAGGTCTCAGCTCAGCCACCATCTAACCCTTTTCCCAGCCCCGCCCACAGCACACCCTACCCCCTGGCAGTGAACCCCCACGAGTTCCATGCTACCCCTCACAGCCCGGGGCAGTCGGGCTGGCCCCCACAGCTGGCTTGCGTCACGGGTAGAGGCAGCATTCCTGGTTGTCTGCCGTCGCCTGACTTTATAAGGGAGAAAGCGGGAGCCCGGAGCTGTTGGGCAGGATGGGCAGTAGGGGTGCTTGCTGCCCAGCTGAGAGCGGGGCGGGGGGGGCCCTGGGTATGCGAGCATGGGGGTGACGCCTAATGCTGCTGCAAGAGAGGTGGACACAGAGGGGACCATTTCGCCCATCGCCATCCAGCCGCACACACATATGTAAAACACACACACACACACACACACACACACACACTCACATACACATACATGCTCACACTTGTACGAATGCACATGAATATGAGTGTGCATGTGCGCATGTGCGTGCATGGAAAAGGAGAGCCGGCAAAAATACTGAAAATGAGACATAGTGATCCGGCCTCACAAAGACTGAACTCAAGAGACATGGACTAGAGTTAGGGAGGGAGCAGGGAAGCCAAGGGAGACAGAAGGCAGGGGCCTAGTGCTGTGGCAGGAGTGGGGGGGTCTGGCCAGCCAGGAGGAAGAGGATCCTGCCCTGGGGGAGTGGACGGCACCGGCACCTTCTACTGCAGCCTGTGGGGCTTGGCATCAGGGTGGTATATCCTGGTGCCAGGTCTGAGCAGGCAGGGTGAGGTTTTCAAGGGCTGCAGGGTAGATTCTTGGGAGGGCTGAGGCAGCGCTGAAGGGCTCTCTGTCTACCATGATGGGTGTGGGGGCTCACCTGCAGCTGAATACAGCCTCTGTGGGACCGATGGGCCAGTGCCCTGCCCGAGCCACGGAGCTCTCCCTGAGCTCACCCAGCCTCAGGCCAGTTTTCCTCCCCTGGACCTCCAAGGAATCCCTCTCCTTTCTCCACCAGAGTTCTGCCCTCAAGCCAGAGAAACCTGAAAGAGACTAGCGGTGGCCAGAATCTGGAGGCTGGTGTCCTGGGCACTGACTCTCCCTGCTCTGGGCTCAGGGAGCAAAGTGACACACTGACAAACGCAGCCCACAGAGTCCCCACAGACCTGAGTAGCCAGTGTGTGTGTGTGTGTGTGTGTGTGTGTGTGTGTGTGTGTGTGTGTTGGATCAGCATACCTGGATAGTATGTGAAGGTGAGAATGGGTTCAGTGACGATGCTGGGTACTGGGTTCAAGGACTGTTATAACTGTTCTGGATCCTGGCTGGCCAGGACTGAAGGATAATCTACCATACCTGCCCCATCCTTAGACCCCTTGGCAAGAGAAAATCTGCCTGGTGGGCGTAGTTGGGGGCTCTCTGCTCCCCACATGCCCTCCATCAGCACATCCTACCCCTGCAAGGCCAGGCTATCACCCTGCGCCAGACCATCATCCTCTCTCACCTCTGTTTCTCTGAAGGTCTGAAAGGGAAGGTGAACAGATCCAGGTCAGGCCACAGGGACAACAAATAGCCTTCATAGGTGTGACAGCTGGGG